TCAACGACAAGGTGGTAAAGCGCGAGAAGGGTCAGGTCCGTGCTGAAACTGCCTCGGAAGATCAAGAGGAAAGCTCCCCATCAAAGGGAAAGGTCCCTTCATGATCGGACCCCAATAAGTTCCAAAGCATGGGATTAAGACTTCAACGTGTTCCACTCACATTATGAAAATCCTACTACTTTACATACGAAATTTTGTCTTCAAAAGAAGTCCGACCTCACTTAGCAATGAAGGGTGGCGGCAAAAATTAAAAAGAGAAAAAAAAAACAAAAAAACAAAAAAAACAAGGTACTATGCCCCCCCTCGGTGTTTGGCCAACCTTGGCCAGGCTCTTGAACTGAAAATAACCAAATGATTTCCGAGAATCCGAGCAATTTCTAAAGTAAATAGCTAGCCGCAACAGTCGAGGCGACAGTAGGGCTGACCTCCAGGTCGACGGTGCTCATGATGCTGACCTTCGGGTCCTTTCGAGTGCTCGCCGCCTAACATCGCTGGCCAAGCAGCTCGCACTCTCGCCATCCCCGAGTTGGCTCTGCGGGTCCGTTCTGGTGGATTGTGCGGGGTCTGCCCCTGTTGTTTGGCTATCCCCGCGGGAGTAACCAGATTATTCCTCAAGTCCTGGCAAACTGGACGGGTTAAAGCGACAGTAGGACTGACCCCCGGGTCATGAACGTTCAGGATGCCGACCTAAGGGTCCTCCTCGTAGGTTCAATGTCTGACCTTGCTGGTCGAACAAGTCGCATACTTGTTGATTGCATATCAACAGCGAACAGATCACTTCTATCCGACCGGGAGGGGCACAGATAGGCTCGGCCACGCCAGCCTAACCGCCCCCTGGGAGGTTAGAGAAGTCGGATCCCCGAATAAATTGCTAAGTATTCGTAATGCAAAGTATAGAAAAAAGAAACATATGAATTCAAAATTACTTCAGTCAGATGTCACATCAGTCAACTTCATGCTACAAGCAAAAAATAAAAATGTACAGGGTCATGGTCGGGCGAACCCATCGCCATCAAATACAACGATCTAGTCAAGGGGCTTGCTAGGAAGCTTAAGGAACTCTCCCGGAATCCAAAAGTCAACTCAGTCATTGACATGGACGGTCTACTCTTGGCCATCGCCCAACTACTACGCTGTCGTCAACTTGCGACTGACGCCCAAGTACTATGTCACAGTAAACTTGCATTGTTGAGCACTCCTGAGGGAAAACGTTGACTGCAATTTCCACGATAGGGGCGCCCGCCACCTTACATGTTTCGAGGTTCAAACTGAAAGGTAGGCTCCCTGCCATGGGGCTCTCTCTTCCTCAGGATGCTTCACACGTTTGGGGACCTCTGTGGGGCATGGAATCCTGCAAATGGAGGAAAAAGGCTATCAGAGAATCAAGTAGAAAGATAAGGAGCTATGTGGCTCTAAAATAGTGATATTTCGGGGAGCACCAGCATGGCGCCCACACATGTTGGCTGCACTTATGCTTTTCCGAAGGTCTTAGCCGGCCCAAATCGACCTGTTTTCTGTGGGGGGCGAAGGATGCATGCAATTGCACTTGGACAGTCGATATCAACCTTAAAGGCCTTGACGACTTCGGCCTTGCGGTGATGAAGGGATCTAGAGAGTTTGGATAGCCCACCTAATATCTGTAGCCATTCTAAACAACTAAAACAGAACTTCGTAGATACTAAATCTTCGGGGGAAAAAGATCGACTTCCATTTTGATTCAAAAACAGATTTCATCTAATTGCTAAAATTAGATAAGGGCAAAACGAATTTCTGGAGACAAAAAATTCATAACTCTACCCACGAATATACAATCAAAAATTCGTATAATGTCATTAAAATAAGTTTGGCTCTGATACCACTGTTAGGAAATTGATGTAATGTACCTCGAAAGTACAGCAACAGAAGTTTAAAATTTTCCCAAACAGATCTTCCCTGATTATGACAAAACAACGAATATAACAATGATAATAGATATGAGTCAGAACTTACAGATCTCCCAGCCTAGCGGTAATAATCCTTGACCTTAGGTATCCACGTGATTTATCCTTTCCGAAAAAATGGTTAGATCTCCCTTAGAGAAAGGCTAGGAAATCTCTTCGCAGGGAAATAAACTGGTAATACTGAATCTATAAAACTTGGTCACGAATTATGAAGGAGAATGATGTATTTATACTAGTTCTAAACTAGTTTCACAATCACAATGAAAGTCTTCCCAATTAATGAGTTCTAGTCCTAATAGGACCAATACCCCTTATTAAATAAATAAGTAGATTAAACAAAATAATATAATAATAACAATAACATTAGAGAGGTGGCTACACACCACTCTCTACTTGTTATAAGTATTATTATTTATTTCATTTTCTTTTAATTCAAAATCATAAAAGAAAATACAAACTTTATTTAATAATAAATACACCTTAATTAGGTATAATAAATCTAATTTATCATACTTAATTAATTCTATCAAATACAACTCTCCTTCAACTTCATGAATTAAATATGTTTAATCTAATTAATATTTAATCCATTCTCAGTATTACTAATTAAATATTATTTAATCTAATTAATAATATTTAATTCCTTCTAACAGTTCAATCGGAAGGTATAATCACTTGTTGTGGGACCGATAGGGCCTTATATATTAATCACTAATCAAATTAAGGTCTTAGTAGAATCCCTAGACGATTTACCAGACAAACTTAATATATAAGGACATTTGCGAGGACTATTCAAACTTCCTGTAATATAGAGCTCATAGTAATACAGTCCTTTCATTCAACAAACATTCAACTAAGTCTAGAACATGATATTGTGTCTATTCCAATAACTTAGTCTCTGTCTCTCAATCTTTCTAGATGATTCATAACGATCATATTCGATATCCAAAACGAATATATCTTTGCATTGGCCAATGACTTTATGATCCATCTAGATATGAGAAGTAGAATGTTCTCTCTTAATCTGTTATGAGGAATGAATCCTTTCTTGGCTCAACTACTACTCCATGTGCTTCGTGATGCACCCAACACATGCCGTATCTACCCCGATTGGAGTGCAAGTGTTGGTCATGGTCAAAGTACATCACTCCGCACATGTAGTACGTATTGATCTCAAGTCGTAGGACTATTACACTACTCTATACGCCGATAATCCCATAGACACATGAATAGAACTTATCAAATGGTTTCTCGGTGGGTATGCCAATATTCTCTAAAGTATCTATGTGAGCATCATGAATTACAAAGAACTGATAGTTGTGAGATCAAGTATACTTTCTAAAAGTATGATGCAGTCCACATACCAATCTTATCGCATATCATCAAGCCTAATCGATCCAGCCCAGCGGGGAGCCTGCCTTCCAGCCCAGCCAGGAGCCTGCCTCCAGCCCGGTGGGGAGCCTGCCGTCCAGCCCAGCTAGGGGATGTCAAAAAAACCCGACCCGCAATGACCCGCTCTGGCCCAAGACATTTGGGGCGGGTCCGCCCCGCCCTGTCTTGCAAATGGGGCGGGTCCGCCCCGCCCCGCCTATACAATGGGGCGGGTCCGGGTATTAGAATTGACCCGTGCCGCCCTGACCCGCCCTGACCCGCCCCGACCCGACCCGCTGAATATATAAGTATACATACTTTTTCTTAAATTATAGTACTACAAATATACTTCAACATACATATGTGTATATACAATAAATCATAAATTCTTTGATCTTATAATATATGAATACGGAGTATATATTATAATGAGATGCACAACGGATTATCAATGTCTTTTTTATATATAGAATTTTAATACATATATTCAATTATTAATATAACTAATAAGATTAACTATTCAAGTTTGAGTAATTTTTCCTTAATTTTTGAAATTTTTAGCGTATCATGAATTTGATTTAATATATTGATTTGTAATTATTTATTAGAGATAAACATTATGTAGATTCAATTGGTAACAACTTCCCACAAAAAAAATACATACTAGCTAATTAGGTTACGGCGGGGCGGACCCGCCCCGTCCCGCATGGGGCGGACCCGCCCCGCCCCGCCCCGCATGGGGCGGGTCATGGGTCAACAAATTTGGACCCGTGCAGGTCACGGGACGGGGCGGACCCGCCCCGACCCATTGCCATGCCTAAGCCCAGCAGGAGGGAGCTCAAGCGCCAGCCAGGTAGAGCCACATGCCAAAAACAGTAACGGTCATGACAATCAGTGTGATATTAATTATGTATTTAATTCCGTATTAATATTGTAATTAATGGGTCATTATTGTATTTGGCAGACACCATTTCTAATCGCCTATAAAAGGCAAGTTCGATTCAAATAATAGATAAGTTATTTCTAGCAACTAAATCTCCTAGCTACTTTCCATTTTCGTTCTTACTTTCTATTTTCTTGCTTGAGTGTCGAACGTAGCTTCCCTAAAAGACTATGAGCGTCCTATTTTGGACCAACAATTTTATTTATCTTAACATTATTAATTTGATGAAAATAAAAATAAAAAGGAGCACCCAACACAAAATATATTTTCCCTTTTTTTTTATTTTTCAATCTCCAATTTAATATTTTCATTTAATTTAGTTTTGATATTTTTAAATATATATTGTTTATTTATTTTTTTGAAACCAAAAGGATAAATGTAGTCGTAAATTTGAACTTTAAAAATATTTTCGCACCTTTCAAAACTTTATGGGCATATAACCGCATCTCGGGTTATTAAAGGCAGATTTGCACCTTTGTGGCTTTTCCCATGATATGATCTATGGCTCCCAACCGTTAATTTGCGTCACTTTTGTGGAACTATTAAAATTCAGGTAATATATTTTGTCCACATTGTAATGTAGTTGTTCCTTAAAAAACTCATTATTTAATTTAGTTCTATTTGTATACAATAAGTTTTATCAAATAGAATATTTTATTTTATAAAAAGCTATTTAAAATTATCCTAAAAATACAACTATAAATTTTGGGGACGTTTTAAATAGTACAAAAAGTTAAAAATAAGGGTTTATGCTACCAAACATGCCCATACTATGTACATAAGCTCAAGGGCTATTAAAATATACAGTACAATTTATTTGTTGTTTTTATGCTCCTTTTCCCAAGAAAACCATAGGAATCCTAAGAAAATACTCCGTATACAAACTATAAAAATTTCGAAAATAGTAATAATAAAAAAATAATATTAGTAATGAGTTACAAATTAAATACCACCGCCCAACTATACCATTCATGATTCAGCACCACCACAGCGGCTGCCTGCTCCGTCGTCGCCATGCAAGGCCGCCATAGCCACCGCTCCCAGCTTCTGGAGGTTCAGCTTGACGACGGTGTCCGTGAACATCCGGGTATCTTCGCCGGTGTTGCCTTCGGGAATGTCGACGATGTAGGACTCGAGGACGACGGTGTAAACGCCGGCGCCGTCCGGTCGGCGGAACTCGTTGACCGACGTGACGCTGCGGTAGTTGTTGAGGCGGTGCTCGCCGCCGACGACGCGGAAGCTGAGGACGTGCCTGTCGTCGTCGAGGATCTCGAGGCGCTCGGTGCTGGTGGCAGCGGGGATGCCGGAGACGACGGTGACCTCCCGGATGCTGCCGACGCCGCCGTCGCCGGTCATGGTGCAGCTCTTGATGAAATGCTTGTACTTTTGGGGGTTGTCGAAGCGGCGGACGAAGCGCCAGACGACGGCGGCGGGGGCGTGGATGTGCTGAGTGATGAGAGAGGTGCAGGTGTTGGGCAGGGGATCGAAGGTGTGGTAGCGGCCGATCAGCGCCTCCAGTCCGGCGAACTCCTCCGCCGTCAGCCCCTCAGCGCCTCCAATTGCGTCGCCCATTATTTCTTTCGATGAATTCCTCCGATCGATCAATTCAATTCTAGTCTACCTATACATATATTACACGGAGTATAGTAATATATTATGATGCAAGTGAGCCCAATGGGAGTTTAATTTATTTATTGTTTGAATAAATGTATGTATATATGAACAATTGTACTAAATGATTTAAGCAGCTAGCTAGGCTCCATTGCGTCTATCTAGACACATGAGTATATACTTGTTGTATATAATAAAAATAAATATTATTATGTAGTAATAAAAAATACCAAGTACAAGCATAGATATTGCATTTTTTATTCCACCAACAGCATTCTTCATATATTATTAAATAAATAAACAGCAAGCCAATAAAATAGTGCTAATTAATATATGGGCTTTCTTCGGAGATCAATTCTAATTGTATTAAATTAAAGTTCTATAGAAATGGCAAATATGGATCTCACAATAATAATGATATGATGATGATAAAAAGCCCTTTTGTTCATCAATATCAAAGTAAATACGAACGATAATAATATAACTTTTTTTGAGTTTCTCCGAATATGTGACCGGCCAATTAATATAAATATATGCCCAATATTTAATACTCCCTCTCGGTTCACCAAAAATTGACTTTTCTTTATCAATGACAATCAATATTTTTGACTGGTGATTGATAGAGTATATCTAGAGAGAAGTGAGAGCTAGAGAGAGAAGTGCAATAATATGCTTCAATAGAATGAATTTGTCCCCCTATAACTACTCCCAAAGGGAGTATTTATAGAGAAAATTAGGGTTGGGCTCCCAAGCCTTGGGCTTGGGAGGCCCATTTACAACTGGACCGCTACTGGGCCGAATACAAAGCCACTAATGGGTTGTACAAATGAGTAAGTATAAAATCCGATTCTATGAGGTCTTCGTGGCCGACGAGGGCGTGGCCGACGAGGGCACGGCCGACGAGGGCACGGCCGACGAGGGCACCCGGGTTCCTTGGACTCAGGACCATAATCCGAGTTGGCCCCTTTTTCGGCCGACGGGGCGTCTTGGCCGACGAGGGCGCCACTCTGTTGTCTTGTGCTTTCTGCTCTTCCGAGTATGTGGGTCCGGGGGCTTAGACCCATATACTCCATCAGGAGTCCCCCACTCTCTAAGCTGAGACGTAGACGAAGTGAAGGAGAGTAGATTTATGTGCTTTGTTGCCCTTGGCCGTTACCTGTTCCTTGTTGTGGACAGGGAGGCCGTTGTTTACCTGATGTCTTCGTTTTGGGACGATGAGTGTCCTTCTTTCAATGGTGGCCGTTGAAGGCAAGTTTTGCTTGGGCGCTAATGTTTGAAGTTTGTGTTCGGGCCGACGAGGCCACTGAAGTTATTCCTTGCTTTGAGGACGATGGCGTCCTTTCCTTTGGGTGGCCGATGAGGGTGTTTGCGCACTCCTTTGGCCGTTGCTGGTTGGCCTTCGTGTTGGCCGAAGGGCCCGTCAAGATTAATTGTTGGCGGAGGACGATGAGTGTCCTTGCCTCTAGTGGCTTGTTGGCCGTCGCTAATGACGTTATGGGCCTTTGGCCGATGAAGTTCCGTTGTGTTGTATGGATGATGTGGCCATGCTTTGTGGTCACATTCATGTTCTTTGATGATGTGGCCCTGCTTTGTTTTGCTGAGGCCGGTGTAGTCCCCCAGTCCCCCACTGATTCAGGCCGAAGAGTGTGAGGGGTGAAGGAGTTGCTTGAGTCCCTGGCCGAAGCGGTCTCGCCGTAGTCCCTCCTGAATCCAACTCTCATGGCGATTTTCTGGCCAAGGTAACCCTGTGGGAGAACCCTTGTGCGCAGATCGCTTGTAGAGAGTTATCATCAAGGGTCATGACGAGGAGCCGATGGATTGTGGGCTCTTGGGTTCTTTGATCTTGTGGCCGTTACGTTCCCGGCCGTTGCCGTCTCCTTATTGTTTGGCAGTTGTGATCTTGGCGAGCGAGTGGGACGTTGTGGGCGCTTGCTGGCATTTGTAAAGCCGGTGAGCGTGTGTAGGCCGTAGAGTCCGTCTTGCCAGTGGGCTGTTGATATTGAGTTTGGCCCGTTGGTGACGTGGTGGTCCCCCATTGGTGGCCGTTGGTGTGGCCATTGGGGGGGGGGGGGGGGGGTGCCACGTGTAGTGACCGTTGGGTGGGGGGTTCTATAAATACCCCTCCCCCTTCGACGAGAAAACGTATTTGCATTCTGAATTTGTCGAAGTGCTGGCCGATTTTCTAGAGAGATAAACTCCCAAGCCTGTTCTTCGTGTTCTTCGTTGTTCAAGGTTAGTGTTCATCGCGATCTTCCTCACTTTTCATACTTTGCTCCCTAGGTTGTTGATCTAGTGTTAGGCGTTTGAACACCCTTAGATCTTAAGTTAGTCTCCTTAGGCCTGTAGTAGTAGTTATGAAGAGCTTGAACGACGACTACTACCCCTACGACGACCAGCCCTCCACGAGGTCGCTTGACTACGAGGTGCTCGAGGAGTTTAAAGAGGAGATAGAGCGTTTAAGTCCCTACAAATCCGGAGAGCCGGTGGACGAGGAAGGTGAGGACGAGGACTCCGCCTCCTCTTCAAAGGGTGAGGACGTAGGTGCGTCCCGAGTGGTGGACGGGGCGTCCACTTCTGCTGTCATTCCGTGCCCGAGGCCGGTGTCTGCCGTGAAGGGAGCGGCTAAGCCGAAGAGAGTGAGGAGGCCGAAGAGTGGGCCCGGCATCTCCTATTTGGATCTCACTAACATCTACCTGATCAAGCCGGAGAGCAGTGCGGCCGACTATCTTGTTGCCCAGATGTACGTGGGGCCGTTCGGGCGGGTTAAGGCACCCAGGCCGACGGACTATGTTCTTCTGCCACCACCGGGATACTTTGGAGTATACCCGATGAGTTTTGCTAAGGGGTTGAGGTTCCCCCTTCACCCTTTCATTACCGAGTACCTGGACATGGTAGGGCTTCCTCCGGCCTTGCTGACGCCGAACAGCTACTCCTTGATGGTGGGGTTCTTGCTCCGGTGTGAGGAGTTGGGCTACAAGCCGACAACGGCACTATTCATGAATCTGTACCAGATCGGCCGAGGAAGCCACAAGAACTGTGCGGCCTACGCTACTCTTCAGCAGTTGCCGAAGAAGAGGAGCTTCACGTACTTGCCTACGTCCATTCATGGGTGGAAGAGCAAGTTCGTGTTTGTGTCCATTGGTGAGAGTGGCACCGAGTTTCCCTCCCTCGGCCATACCGGGAGGTTTAACCTGCACGACCCGCCGAAGAGCTCTATTTTGGACGCTCAGGTGGAGGCTTTCTTGGACGGGGGGCCGAGGAGCGTGAAAGATTACATTACTGAATACAAGATGGCCGCCCTCGGCTTCTTGAGGTACTATGTCTATGGTGACAAGGAGGATGACCTCCAACTCTGGCCGAGGATGACCACCACCTTTGAGGAGGCCGATGGCTCGGATCTGGGCATTCCTGCTGAGGCCGATGGTAATTCTTTCTTCGGCTTTCTGTCTTTATGTTTTGTCCTTTGCCTTACTAATCTGTTTGTTTTTCCTTTGTAGACTTTGCCATGGACCGACGTTCCATAATGGCTATTGCCAAGGCCAAGGCGGCCGAGGAGCTGGCTGCTAAGGCGGCCGAGGCGGCCAGACGTGCCGCGGCCGGTGGGAGCGGGGCTACTGCTGATGCGGCCCCAAAGCCTGCCCCATCAAAGAAAAAGAGGTCGGCCACTGACGGCCAGAAAAAGTTGACTGATGCCGGCCTGAGCGCCTCGAAGAAGACGAAGAGGGCTCCTTCCCCTTCTCCGGCTACTGAGGCCGGTACTCTGGCTGTCCCCAGCGTGGACGATAGTGGTCCTGTCGTGGACCTTACTGCTGCTGGTGATGCTGCTCCATCACTGCCTCTCGTCCAGGAGCCACGGACGAAGAGGGCCGACAAGGAGATTGCCGGTGCCACCTACCAGAAGGTGGTAGAATACCCCGTCGGCGGGGGCGTGTTTAATGATCTCGTCCCTGGCCACGTCGTCCTGGCCCAGGCCATGCCGGCCAAAGATCGGGCTTACTTGAAGAAGCTCGGGGACGTGAAGATTTACGAGGACGGCATGGACCTCTTCGTCCAAGTAAGTTACTGTCCTTATGTTTTTGTCTTTCTCTTCGTCTGTGTAGAGTCTTTTGCTTGACCTTTGTTTTCCTTCTGCAGAGTGCCTTTATGCTTATGGAAAGCCATAAGAGGCAGTATTGGGAGATAGCTCACTTGAAAGAGCTGGAGCAGAAGGCTGCCTCAGCCGACGAGGCGGTAGCTTGCCTTGATCGGCTCCGGGAGGATGCCAAGGCGTTGCAGCAAAGGGCTGATGAAGCCGCTGCAGCCAGGGACGATGCCCTGGCCAAGCTCGAGGAGAGCAAAAGGGAGCTTGTGGCCGAGCGGCTCAAGAATGAAGAAGTCGTGAAGGCGAAAGCTGAGGCCGAGGCCGCCGCTGTTAAGGCTGCTGACGAGGCCGTTGAGCGGTTCCTGGCCGAGGGGTGGAAGGCCGATGAGAGGCTCCCCTGGTGCTACGAAGTGGTTGCCGCCAGGCTTGAAGATTGGGGGATGAACTCCCCCGCCGGCCAGGAGTACTTCAGTAGGGAGATGGCCGTCTATTACAACATGGGCCAGCAGCGGATGCAGAGGCTCCTGTGTCGGCGGCTGTCCCGTGCTCTGAAGGCCATGAACTACACGTCCGGGTGGGCCAGACGGAACCTGAGGCTGCCAAAGCTTATGAAGGATCCAGAAGAGCAGGCCAATCTTCCTCTGTCGGAGCGTGAGTCTCCTATTGAAAGCTCCGGCCTCGGTGAGCCGGATTACACCGAATTTGATTTTCTGGACGACGCCACCAGTGCTGCACCCGCCGACGGTCAGGAGGATGAGGCCGAGGAGGGAGCTGACGAGGTCGAAGAGCCAGCCACGGATGGGGATGCCCCAGAGGCTTGATCGGCTACTCCCTGCTCCTTTGTAATTTGCTTTTCATTGCTTTGTCTAACTGATGTAATGGTCGAAGCGCCCCCCATTGTAATGAATTGATTAAATGAAAGAATTTTTGC